AATACACATTTTTCTTAGCTGCACATGGGACATTCTCCAAAACAGACCACATATTAACCCACATAACATGCTTAAGTAAATGAAGAATCGAAATGATCCCATGCATACTACAGTGAAATGAAACTGGAAATCAACAACAAAGGAAATCATAAAAACTACATAAACACATGAGAATTAAACAACACTCATCTGAACAACCAATGGTTCACAGAGGAAATTAAAGGAGAAATTAAATAACATACACAATTAAACAATAATGCTCATACAATATACCAAAACTTACGGGACACAATGAAAGCAGTCTGGCAAAAGACATTTAAAAGCAATGAACTCTCACATCAGGAAAATAGAACAAGTTCAAACAAATAACCTAATGTTGAACCTTAAACTTCTACAAAAAGAAGAACAAATCAAACCCCAAACTCATATGAGGGAGAAAAGTATCAAGATCAGAACAGAAATTAATGCAATTGAGACTATGAAAACAATGCAAAAAAATCAATTGGTTCTTTGAAACAGTAAATAAAATTGATAAAACTTTAGCCAACCTCATCAAAAAGAAAATATAAAAATTCAAATAATTAGAAATGAAAAGAGAGAAATCACACCAGATCCTACAAAAATCCATAAGATTATCAATATCTACTATGAAAACATATATTACAGTAAGATGGAAAACACAAGAAATAGATTCCTAGACATGATCAAATCACCAAAACTAAATCAAGAATATAAAAATTCGAAATAATCAGTCAATAAAATTGAAAATGTAACTAAAAATGTACCAACAAAGAAAAACCCAACTCCTCACAGATTTACTGTTGAATTCTACAAGAAATTTAGAGAACTTATGCCACTAATGCTGAAAATCTTTAAATTGAAAAGGAAGCAATATTTCCAAAATCATTCCTGGAAGCAAATATTACCCTGATTTCAAAACCAGAAATAAAAGAAACCCAACCAAGGAAGAAAATTACAAGTGAATCTCCTGTAGATGCAAAAATGTTCAGTAAAATACTGGCAAACAAAATGCAGCAAATCATCAAGAACATTATATAACATGAATAAACCAGATTCATCCCCAGGATGCAGGCATGGTTCAACATACATAAGTCAATAAATATAATACAGCATATTCACAGAACCAAAGACAAAAATCACATGATCATCTGAATAGATACAGAAAAAGAATTTGACAAATTCTGACACCCTTTCACAATAAAAAAAAAAAAACAGAAAATTGGAACAGATGATCTTTACTTCAATCTATTAAGATTAAACAGATAGATCAACTAGATAAATGTTTAATAGGTTAAACATTTAATCTCTTAAGATTAAAAACAGAAAATTGGAACAGGTGATCTTTACCTCAATCTATTAAAAGTCTGCTATGACAAACCAATAGCTAACATCACACTAAATGGTCAAAAACTGAAACTTTCATCCTAAAATCAGTAACAAGACAACAATGTCCATGAATTAGCCAGAACAATTAGACAAGGGTATGACTTAAGGGGCTGGGGATTTAGCTCAGCGGCATAAGCACCTGCCTTGCAAGCAGGCAGTCGTGAGTTCGATCCCCAATACCGATAAAAAAGAAAAAGAAAAAAAAAAGTAAAAGGAAGAAGTTAAATTATCATTATTTGCAGATCACACTATATTCTACATAGAAGATCAAAAAAACTCTGTCAAAAAACTTCTACATTTAATAATCAAATTCACTGGTGTAGCTGGATAAAAAGTCAACACTCAAAAATACACAAGCAACAAACTCGCAGAGAAACTAGGGAAACCTTACCCTCTATGACAGCATCCAAAATAATGAAACACTTAGGAATCAATCTAACAAAGGAAGTAAAAGATCTCCACATTGAAACTACAGTACCCTAAAAAAGGATTGATCAAAGAAGATATCAGAAAATGGAAAGATATTCACTGCTTATGGATAGGAAGAAACAATATAGTGAAAATTGCTAACAATTTGTACACTAACAATTTGTATACTAACTTAAAGAGCTTTATCATCCTGTACTATGTTTGCCAATGCCCAACTTACATGACCAAATTACCTGTTAATTCCCTTTGCAAACGCAACTATTTTCTACAACTAGACACCCTGGGGCACTGACCACATTGTTATAAAATAACTGTAGCACCTCATACTGTTTTGTATGTGGCACCTACCAGGGTGACCTGACTGATATGTTAACCATTGTTCCCCTCTGCAAAGGACAGATGTTATTTAAAATTAAGTGCTGAAATTAGCTGACAAAGGACTGTAAATTCCTGGAAATCTTCTGTGTCCTCAAGCAAAGGAAAACAAAGGTCCTCCTCATTCCTTAGCTGAGGAAGGATTGTAAATTCCTGCAAAACTTCTCTGTCTTCAAGCAAAGGGAAATAAAGGATTTCCTCATTCCTGATCCACACACATAAATCATTTACTTTATAATTGTCCTTTCTATAAAAGTCTGTCAAAATTTTAAGCAAGTTACACAGCTTTGCAAACTCCAACTCACTGTGTCCTTGGTGCCAGGATAAATAAAAAGCACTCCTTTTTCTTTAAAAAACATGTCTTGCCCCATTTTTTGGACACCAATTTGGGGGCTCATTTTTGGGGTACAACAAAAATGACCCTACTCCCCAAACTGTTATATAGATTCAATGCAATTTCAATCAAAATACCATTAGCATACCTCAAAGAACAAGAGAAAACATTCCTAGAATTCATTTGGAACCAGAAGAGACCTAAAATAGCAAAGTAATCATGAGCAATAAAGGCAAGTCAGAGGGCATCACAATCCCGGACTTGAAGTTATTACTGCAAAGTAACTGCAATAAAATCATCATGATACTGGAAAAAAAAATAGACCTGAGAATGGATAGAAGATGCAGAAACACTCATCCACCTTATGTTTGACAAAGGTGCCAAACATGTCCACTGGAAGAAAGAGAGGCTCCAGTAAAAGGTGCTGGTAAAACTGGCTTTCCACATCCCAAAGATGAAAACAGACCCATTCCAATCAGTATGCACTAAAATCAAAATGGATCAAAGATTTAACACTAAGTATACTGGAAAAGAAATAGGTAGTAATCTTGAAGATATAGGTATAGGTGGAAACTTTATGAATAAAACCCAGACCACACAGGAAACTCTACAAGGAATCATCAAATGGAAATCTCACCCCATTAAAAAGCTTTTGCAAAACAAAAGAAATCAACAGAGTGAAAAGACAACACACAAAGTGGGAAAACATTGCCAGTTGTCTCTCAGAAAAAGGGCTTGTATCTAAAACATTTAAAGAACTGAACAAAATTAAGCCCCTCAAATTGAAAGGCATAATGCAAAAATGGGCATCTGATATGAATACACACTTCTCAGATGAAGAAACATGAACAGCAATATATGAAAAAGTATTCAACATCATTGGCCATTTGAGAGATGCAAATTAAAAGATTCCATCTCACTTTAGAAAGAATTGCAACCATCAAGAAATCAACCAATGGGAAAGGCTGATGGGGTTGTGAGGAAAAGGAACCCTTCTCAACTGTTGGTGGAAGCGTAGACTGGTGCAATCACTGGGAAAATCAGAGTAGAGATTCCTGTTAAAACTACAATTAGTAGTCTCATTCAATCCAGCTATCCGCCTTCTGGGTATCTTCCCAGAAAAATTAGAAACATCATACCACAACAATATATGGGCACCCATGTTGATAGCAGCACAAGTTGTGTTCTTTTTAAATAATGTAGTACTACTCAGCCATAAAGGATAAATTCAAGACTTTTATAGGTAAATGGGTGCACTTTGAGACCATACCAATAAGTGAAATAAATCAGGCCCATATGTGTAAATATCACATTGTTTCACTAGTGTGAGAAGCTGAACTAGTAATGTACAACAGATACTGTGAATTGGAAAGAAATAGTTTAAAAGAAAAGAGAAACTAAAGCTGGAAAGGGGAAAGAAAGGAAGAGAAACGAGAAAAATATACATGGACAAGGTAGGTAAGATAGTTATATGATGGGCCATGGATTTAGGTCAGTGGCGTAGGCACTTATCTGGGAAGCCTGAGGTTATAAGTTCAATTCCCGGTACAAAAAAAAAAAAATAATAATAATAATAATAATAGTTATATGGTTAGTTTCTTTTAGTTCATTGAAAAGAAAGAATTGTGCTAATATTGTCTGGACATTATTTCATGCCTATATCTTGTACTCTGAGTAACGAGTAACTGCTAAGATAACAATGCACAGTGTTTAATTTATCATTACTCTCCTATTAGCCTGATTTGATACTGATTTCTTATTTCTATTTTTCTTTTCCTTCTCTTTATGAGAGAAAAAATGGGGGAAAAGGAAAAGAAAGGCAAAGAAAAATAGATATATATACACACAAAATAGTTGATAGTAATATAGCTAGTTTCTCTTAGTTCACTGAAAAGAAAAAAATCTGTGGTATAATGTTTGGACAATATTTCATGCCTAGATCTTGTACTTTGAACAACTACTATGTAGACAATGATACCCAATGTACTAATTATTGCTATTATCCTATTAGCCTATTTTGAGACTCTATTTTATTGTTATTTTAACTTTTTTTCTCTTTAAAATAAAAAAATAAAACAAAGTTTCTTTCTGTTTGAGACCTGGTAGGCGCAGGAACAGAAAAGGAAGGAGGGTTTAGCAGATATTTTTAAGTCACTTTAGAGAGTAGTATTCTCCTCATCTGGCTGCCCTCAATAGCATGTAGGACATCTAATTCTTCTACATATTTGAACTTTTTAAAATGTTTTACTATGGAGAAATGACAAATATGAAAGAAAGCTCATCATTCTAATTTATACATGTGTTGTTACCAGTTAAGCTTTAAATTCCTTATCAGGAATAATATTATATATTTACATGTATACTCTAGTGAGATTTGCATATTTAATAAGTATGTAACAAAAATAAGAAAATTCATACAATAATTTAGATTATAAAAATTTCTTTTGTATCTTACTTGTGAATTATCATCTGTATTTCCTTGGAGTTTCTCTGGGACTATGATTTGTAGAAATAAATTTGGAGAACCTAAATAATTTAAAAACACCAGTTAGCAGTCATGCCTTAAATTTGATTCAATCTCTGTACCATTAATTTCAAAATATTGATTTATAAATAAACAGCTCATCACCTTGTATTTCTTGAGTCCTCACTTTACCAGCAGATACTGAGGCTGGAATGCTACAGAGATTACATGCAAATTAGTGAACTGTTGCATGTTCAAAGTAAAACAAAACCTTAAAAGAAAATTTAATTTGAAAAGCAGTCAAGACATTTATAAAATACCAAAAAGAAAAACCCAGATAAAGGTATTCAGCTTCCACAAAATCTGCTGTTCTGGAAAAAAAACAGAATAGACAATAATCAATTGATCAGAGCCATAATTCAAGATAACCTTCATGTAATGAGATTTGAAATAACAGACTAGAAAAGACACCATATGTCAGGAATGACTGATAATGATTAAAAAAACTAAGATAAATTCTACGAAATTTACCAGATTTCTAAGATAAAGGTTCTACTAAATTACCGGATTTCTAAGATAAAAATTCTATAGGAATATGAGAAATAAAGAAATCATAATTGAGCATATGAGGTGAAAAGCAGGCCAGCATGAGTATTTAATGTGAAAACTCTGAAGAACAAGGTCTAACATAACCTATCAGAAAAGAAATTGAAGATTTAAGAAGTTCATACCCCAAGTAACCTGCCCCTTCAGCCAGGCCCCATCTTCTGATCCCACACTCAGCAGCTAAACTCACCAGTAGATAATTCCACTGATGAGTACAGAGCTCCTATAATCCAACGACTTCCACAAGTCCCACTTGTAACATTTGACGCTCTGGGTGGGACATTCTCAGCCTAAACCATAATATTCTATCCATGGCCTGCAGAAGACTTGTGCATATCTTATTATGCAAGATGATTTAGTCCATCTCTAGGCGTCCCTAAAGTAATAATAGTTTCAGCAATGCTGAAAAATTCAAGTCCAAAGTTTCTTTTGAGATTTAAGGTAAGCTCTTAGCTGTGAGCCCTTATAAAAATTAAAATGAAAGTTAAACATTTCCAACATTCAATAGGATAGAATAAACATTCCCATTACCAGGGTGAATAATAGGTGAATACAAGAGGAACCAAATCAATATTGAAACCCAGAAAGGCAAACATTAAATCCTATAGCTCCATATCTACCACTGTTGACTACATTCTCACAGCTTCATGGCCTTTCATGGGCATACTGCTTGGCCTCCCAGATGTTCTTCTGAAATCTGGGTGAAAGCATCCCTAACCCCACAACTCTTCATCTATGCATACCTATAAAACCAACAGATGGATGATGCCACAGTCTGCAGCCAGCTCAGGTCCCATTGGTTATATGGCTGCAGAGGCTTCTAAATGACAGGATGGTCCAGCGGTGTGACCCAAATCCCAAACAACCAATTGCCTAGGATGCTTTTCTCAAGGGAAAGTTCTTCACTTTTCTACCCTTGAGCCTGCACACGGTGGGGTGATTGCTGAGGTGCCCTCAAGGGATCTTTCCTATTGTCATAAGGCAAAGTACATGGCTTCTTTTTAACATTAATCTTTTGAGCAGCCTCCCTCTCCAAAAAAACTTTTAAGTTCTTTTTGACCAAGATAACACTTTCAAATGGGATTTTCACTTCTGTTTATTCAGTACAAACTTCACTAACAGCATTGACCATTTCCCATGATTCAGCCTGAACTTTGGGCTCCTTTGAAATTTCTTTCACCAGATTAGTCTGCTATGCTTAATTTCAGTCCCCTGCAAACTCCCAAAGCATTAACAAAATATAGGAAAATTATCCGCAGAGCCTAACATGTGTGGTCTTGAGTCCAACTATGGAGTCCTTGTTCTTTGATAAAACCTCCTGAATTAGCATTTGCATTTACTCCTTCCTTGCTATTTCCATTTACTTCATCATTCTTGTCCTCTATGCTCAAAACAGAATCCCCCATTAACCAGGCTTACAGTGTTCTAGGGCTTCTCTAACTAGCATCTTCAAACCTTTCTAAATATTTTTCTTCGACTAATTGCTTTTATATCACATGACCAAGTACTCACAGGACCATCCTCACTCTCACTACCAAAATCTGTCTGTTTTTTTTTCTCCTTACTGATACACAATATTTAACACCTGCAAATTACAGGAGATGGGATTTCTTTTGGTTAATAATTATAGTCCAGAGGTAGAAGTCCTAATTCTCCAAGGGAAAAATGGCATGTTAGAAGAGTTTGGTGGGGAAAAACTGATAGCATCATTATGAGCAGGAAACGAAGAGAAATGTCAGGAACCAGGGAAAAAGACATAGCCCTCCAGATCACCTAGTGTCCCAGCTCTGCCAACCAGGTACCACCTTCCAACGTCACGCTCAGCTGCTAAACTTACCTGTGGAAGACTCCACTAATGAGTACAGTGACCCCAGGACCCATTCACTTTCCACAACCTCTGACTGTGAGCTAATGAGGCTCGGTGGAAAATTCTTAATCCAAACTCTAAAAGGGCAAACACTGAAAGCTTTCCCTCTAAAATGAGGGACAAAACAAAAATGCCCACCATTATCAATCTTGATCACTATAGTTCTTGAAACATTAGCCAGAGCAACCAGGCAATGGAAGAAAAAGGAAAGAATATAGGGAAAGAATAATTCAAACTAATCATTACTTGCAGATGCCATGATTCTCTATACAGAAAACCCAAAATATTCCACTAGAAGTCTCCTAGAATTAATAGCCAAATTCAGTGTACAAAAACAACACACAAAAATCAACAGAATTCCTATACACTAATTTACTCCTTTCTTGAGAAAGAAATTAGGAAAATAATACAATTCACAAAATCATCAAATAAAATTAAATACAAGAAATTAATCTAAGTAAAAGACCTCTACAATGAAAATTACAATACTTTGAGAAAGGATACTGATGATATCAGAAAATGGAAAGATAGTCCGTGTTCAGTCATACTTCCAAAACTAATGTACAGATTTAATTCAATTGATTGAGATTACATTAAGTCTGTATATTAACATCTCTCAAAGAACTAGAGAAAACAATCCTAAAATTGAAATGGAACCCAAGAGACCCAAAGCAAAAAGACCAGAACTGGAGACAATACCATCCAGGCTTTATGATGTACTACAAAGCGACTGCGATATTTTTGAAAGGTATGATATTGACAACACACATGCATGCATGTGCGAACACGTGTGCATCAATGGAACAAAATAAAAGATGCATAAACAACTCTAGGCACATGCAGTTATCTGATGTTTGATAAAGGGGCCAAAAACATACACTGAAGTAAAGACTGGGAAAACTGGCTATCCACATACAGAAGACTGAATCTAGACTCACATCTCTCACCATGTTCCAAACTAAAATGCATAAAACATGTAAATATCAAGACAGAAACAATCTACTAGATGATAAATAGATAAAACTCTAAATAAAATAGATAAAACTGAAGATACATACATACACACAGGCTTCCTGAACAAAAACACAAACTGCACAAGAAATAATACCAAGACTCAACAAATGGGAACATATCAAATTAAAATGCATCTACACAGAAAAAGAAGCAATCCACAGGGTAATATCCCTACAGAACGGGAAACACTTTTGCCAGATACTTCTCAGACACAGCACTAATATGTAGACTACATAAAGAACTCAAAAAAATTAAGATGTCCCAAAATAATTCCAATGAAAAATGGACAACTGAAATGAACCAACACTTCTCAAATGATAAAAAAAAAAACATGAAAAAATGTCAACATTTCTAGTCATTGGAGAAATGTAAATTAAACACCATTACGAGTTCCTCTTACTCTGGAAACAATGGTCACCATTAACAAATCAAATAATAATAAATGCTGGTAAGGCTACGAGGGAAAAGGAACTTCTCTACACAGTTGGTGGGAATGTAAATTAGGAAAACCATTATGGAAATCAGTGTAGAGATTCCACAGAAACTAAAACTAGAAACTCCATTTGAGCCAGCAATTCCCTTTCTAGGTATTTTCCCAAAAGGGTTAAAGATCTCATCATACAGATACACACATACACACGCATACAGCAGCGCAGTTCACAACAGCTAAATCTTGGCAGTGGCCCATACATCCATCAACAGTGAACAGATAAAGAAAATGTGGTATTTACACACAATGGAGTACTGTACTACTTTGCCATAGAGAAAGATAAACGAGTCATTGGTAACAAAATGGATGCACCCTGAGGCCATAATGTTAACCGCATAAAAATTTTTCACTGATCTCACCTGCATCAGTAGATTCATAAAGGAAAACCCATCCCTCCAAGTCCCTCCTATTGCTAGGCTTTGACTCAAAGTTAAATTGTACTCTGCCTAAAGAAAAACTGCAAAATTTTTCTTGGGATAAGAAAACTGACACTAAAGTGTCAGAAGATGTCCAAGTATTACAAAGTGTCACAAAGTGCCAAGAACCTCAGTGGAATATGTGGGAGTGAGCTGAAGGATTATAAATCTTAGACAGTTTGATGGGAACAGAATTTACAATACAGAGTCATCATGTGGCACTTAGGATATAACGTACTAGCTCCCTCACCTACAAAGGAATCCTGCCATTTGACTGGATGGTTATCTGAAGTATGGATTCTACACTGATCCTCAGCCCGTGAACTTAGAATGCAGAAATTCCAACAAACTGTAGGAATAAGGAATAAGCATCACTGTGACACCGAGTGCACAATGTATTTGTACACAAATGTAATTGTACACAATTAGCTAATAACCATAGACCCCAAGTAGCTCAGGAAATATTTCTGTTGTGATAGAATGAAGAAATACATTGGTGAGGAAATCATCAAAAACCTTGAAAATATCTAATGTTGGTCATCTCTAAATCAAACATGACTGGGGGGTATGTTGAAACAGAAAATGATTTCTTGATTTCTGGGAATCAGGGAAGCATATTAACTCTTAGGACAAGATGAATGTAACTAACCGTGCCCACATGAGAAGTAGCAAAATGCTTTCACCTCTAGAGATCTTTGAAGGGATTTAACCCATCGGGATTCCTAGAAATCAAACACATGGGCAGCCTAGTCAACAAATTCTAGTTTTGGTAGGCAGAACCTGCTGAGAATCACCACAGCGAGGACTCACAATTTCCTACGGCATCTCCACACCTAACATCTGTTCAAAGACTCTCCACTAAGGAGAAGCGACCAAGAACAAGGGGTTCCCAGTGGCGCCACAGGAATTTGTACTATCAGTCTTCCACCTGGCCCTCCTCGTAAGTGTTCTGTGCCCTTTTACCATGGCAACTAAACACTAGGGTAAAGGAATACTTAGCAAATTTGTATTCACTGGCCCTCATCTGACACAGTCCTGAAGACTCATAATATTATCGTGGATCACTGGTCAGAATGGGGACTTACACAGATCAAGGGATAAATTAAAGCGCGTGTCCACTGGTTGTAAACAAAGTCACAGTTTGTTTACGAGACTCTAACTCATTGAAATGACAGTCTCATTAGTTAGTTCATGAGAAATTATAATTGGTTAAACATATACATATACACACACAGGTGAAAGATATTTATCTTTATATAGGTGAAAGGCATATATATCTATATGCAGATATAGATATCTATAATTAGATATCTTTATATTGGTGAAAGATATCAATATGTCACCTTTTGGGAAAAAATCAACACACTTCCTACATTGTCCCCACCATACTATGTTGTCTCACTATAGGCCCAAAGCGACACCACAGTGACCAATGATGAATAACTCTGAAACCTTGAGCCAAAATAAACTTCTTATAAGGTGTTTATCCCAGGTATTTTGGCACAACAACAAAAAATGACTAATACAGATAATAAGAATTACTATGTCTTTTTTCTAACAAATACATTTTTTTCACTGCCTCATCTTAATGTTCTAAACTCCCCTGTCATAGTGCAGAGGGACAGGGACCAGTTTTATTTCCCAGAGGAAAATATTCTTATCAATAACATTATTCTGATCAATAACATTAAAGACATTAAACTAATGCATTTGGTGAACAAGAAGCAGCAGCAAGTACTCTATAGACTCTTGAAGAGCACCCTGCATGTCAGATAGGGGTAGCCAAGCCTACAAAGGTCTAGGAAACAGCTGCACCGTGGCATTTCGGGGTTTTCAACAGTGGCAGCATGCTGAGATGTGCCGTGCAAACGCGAAGGTATGTACTGCACTGTGCCTGCCCACCACAGAGAAAGGTACAGTGAGTCATAGGCCACTCTGAATGTGGGGGTAATACATTGTTCCAGTGGTGACAGTCTGAGTCCTCTGTCAACCTGGAAGAGGTGACCGAGGCCCAGAGCAAGAGAAGACTGCACAGGGTGCCCAGGATCTGGTTTATACTACACTGTCCCTCCAGCCCATAACTATGCAGACGCCATCGGGTTCTCATGGTGGAGACTAACCATGGCACTCAGCTGGCTGCAGGCCTCTGGGAGCACATGTAAGCATCTGAGGACCACCGCAAGCCTGCTCAAGTCTCTGACGGGACGGCTGAGGTTCCCCCTGCTTCACACAGCATCTTACTCTTCTCATCCAGGATTCTTTGTACAGCAATCTTAGGCAGTGTTTCAAGGGAGCAAAGGGCAAACTGCAAGACCTCTTAAGAACTGGAAGCCTCAGGAGTCATTTCCACCACAGTCAAACTGCGCAACAGGGCCAGCCAGATTCACAGAAGGGAGACGTAAGTCCTCCCACTTGATGGGAAGAATGACAAAGAAACATTGCAAAAAGGAGACACTTGCAAGGATGATTGAATTTATCAAGGCTGACACCATCTTCACAAACAGAAGCTTTCCAATGTTACTCAGTTCTGTTTTACCATTAATCATTACTGTCTGCAGTCCTGACAATTATCCCTTCACTATATTTTTCATATAAACCCTCTGAGAATATCCTCATTCTTCTGGCAATACCAAGACCTACATGTGTAAGTTAAAGGATCAGAATTTAGTATCTACTAGATTCATTATCCACCATTCAAATTAATGGGGGAATAATAGACAGTACTAACACTGAGATAATTCATTATTTTTTCATAAAAAATACCAACACAGTTCCCTGCCTAGCATCTGCATACGAAATCAAGAGCCCAAGTAAAAGCATGTCCCTCAAAATTGGAACAGAAAGACTGAAAGGCTAAATTTATAAGAGTTGAAAAATGGGTTCAAGGAAGTATAGAGACAAACCTTTTTACTAACTATGCAAAAAGGAAGCCTTCTAAATAAGCAAAAAGAAAAAATATGCAGAAACCATAAGGAAAATGTTGGTAAAGTTATTATGAAAAGCAAAATACCACAGATAAAATTGTTAGGTAAACAACAAATTTTAAAACCTGTGTTACAATACAGAACAAAACATTTAATACACAAAACTAAACAAACATGGATAACAGGTATCAATGTGTTTATCATTCATAAAGTTCATTACTTGAAAAGAACATATATTGCTCATATAGCTCCCTATTTGTACAAATTTATAACTAAATGTATAGAAAAAAAGTTCAGAAAAACAGCACCAAAGCGATAAAGAGTTATCTTGAAACGTGTACTAAATTAACAACCAGGAACAGTATGATAAAGAGTAGTCCCTTTTTCTTCTTTTTGAATGTATTCATATATTATGAAATAAAAATTCTTAAGAAGTACTGTGGAAATTTTTCCAGAAATAGAACACAGCTATGTGTATTTTTTAATCAGCAGGACTTATTGTTACAAAAATCCAAATTCTACACTATCCTTTTTGAGGCTGACACGTAAGTCTGTCACTTCATAATCTAGCAGGTATCATAGTTTTTATTCTAAATGTAAGCAGAACCTCAAAATCACTTTCAGTATAACATCACATCATTACTACCCCTGATAACTCTCTGAGTTTCTGTTAGCTCTACCTTTCATCTTTCTCTAATGGATCTGAAAGATACAGCAATGCAAAGACAATACAGTTTTGATCAGAGGCCAGCTTGCCCTGTACATGAAGTGCATGACCTGGCGGGTTACGAATAAACATGAACATAAATAAGGTAATCCTTGTTAAAGTGAACAAATAGTAAACTATATGAGTAACCATAAATATGACATTCAGGTAATGTAAGACATTCAGATAATATAATAATAAATATGACTGCCCATTTTGTGAAGTTGTTATTCAGAAGAGAGATATTTAGACTTTAAAATGAAAATCTCAGCCACAAGCTGCTCAGCAAGGGCCGCAGGTGCAGCTGCAGAGAACTGGCCTAAGCAATGTAGCGACGGCTGTGGTTCCCTTACACCTCGGCCCCCAGCTCTCGGCGGGCGCTTTCTTCTATTCCTATGCATTTATTACAGGTAAACTGTATCGTATAAAATAAGGCATTTTTCACCCAGCGTTTCAGTTACACCTTTTCCAAGTTTACCACTTCATTCTGTGGCAGGCTAATTAATATTCTCTTGCACACACACCCTCCCCTTTTTAAGGCACTCGCAAGTGATGCACCGCTTGAGTTTTCCCGGTGGAGGCCAATCATAACCCACGCTGCGCCGAGCAGGGCAGCACATCCTGCACTGACGCGTTTTCGTCTCCCCAGCACCGCACGCACCCCGTTCTCCGGCGTGCACCAACCGGGACGTAGTGCTACCGGGCAGGGTCGGGCCGGCGCGCAGCTCGTCGCACCCCAGTCTGGCCGGGCCCAGCGCCCAAGACTCACCTGGGCCGGACGCAGCCGGGCGGCACAGCCCTGCGAGCAGCAGCAGCAGCAGCGGGAGCAGCATGGCGGCCCGGCTCCGAGCGCCGCGGTGGCGGCCGTTGTGGGCGGCCGGGTCCGAGGCTCTGGGATCCGCGTGCGGGCGTGCGGGGAGCCTGGCGGGGGAGGGGGCGGGGTGGGGGGCGGGGAGGGCGGGGCGGGCCGGGGAGAGGGCGGGGCGGGGGGCCGGGGAGGGCGGAGCGGGCCGGGATGGGGGCGGGGAGGGGGAGGAGCTGGGAGGGGGCGGGGCGGGGCCGGGACCTAGTAGAGCCCGGCCCCCGGGCAGATGCCTGAGTTGGAGAGTCCCTGGTGGTCTCCGCAAGGGGTGAGGGGTTCAAAGACAGCGCTGAGAGGTGCTGCAGGCCGACTCCACACAGCAACTGTGAACCTTACCTGCTGCAGGCGTGAACTGATAAACTAAAAACATAAAAAGTAAAGAAAATTCGAAATACCGAATAATGACATTTTGTGAAGGTGATCAGAATCAGGGCATGCCAAGATCCTCAGGGCATTTGGAAAATAAATGTAACTTTACACATGACAATAAATGTGCAAGTGAAAAATTGTAGAAAAACCTCTAAAAGAGACTTTATTTTTAATATCTAATTTACCTCAAAATATACCTACGCACACAACAAAAATGAAACGCGAAATGAGAGAACCACATAAATACAAAAGAAACAAGGTGTCGGAAAGAAACAGAAAAATCATACTAAAGAAAGCATAAGGGGCTGGGGATTTAGCTCAGCGGTATAAGCACCTGCCTTGCAAGCAGGCAGTCTTGAGGTTACCGATAAAAACGAAAGACAAAAAAAAAAAAGAAGAAAAGAAAGCATAAAATAAAATGATAGAAAACTATTATTAATAGAGTGCATGTAAATGGAATAAAAGTCCCCAGTTAAAACACAAATTTTACAAAATTAAAAATCCAGGACATACTAGAGACAAGAGCCAGTGTAAGGAACATATATATGTATATATATACTGCTATCAAGTTACTGGTAATAAAAAACATGCTAATATTGCTTTATTAATACAGAAAAATACACTTAAGATGAAAATTACCTTTCCCATGCTCATTCTGAAATACTCTGTCAAAACCTAAAAATCTAAAACCAGCTGTCCGAGACTACTTTAAATGCTTGTAATTATCAGCAGAGAAGGTGTCATCTAGAAGACTATGGGGAAGACTAAAAGTACTATAATGGACACTGAAAGCTTTTCCCTAAAATCAACAGTCAGAAAAGAATGCCCAAATTTACCACTGCTATGCACCATGCACCACAGCACCAGAAAACCTAAACAGAACAATAAAACAAGAAATAAAAGGCACCTGCCTAACTGGAAAAAAAAGACGTGAAAGTGTTTGTTAACAGATGAGGGGACTGTGTATGTATGCCCATAAAATCCCAAATGCATAAGAAAGTTTCTTAAATTGGGAAGAGTTGCATGGTACAACTTGCAATTGCAAAAGTCAGTTGTGTTTCCAACCTGCAGCAATGAACAACCAAAGAGGAAATTAACAGTTTAACTTCACAATAGCATTAACAGAAAAGGATACTCTGAAATAAACTTAGGCAAGGTGGTGAAGGAGTTGTGCACTGCGTAATACAGAACATTGTATTAAAATGTTTTAAAATGGATTTAAATAAACATAATTATCATTCATGGAACCAAAAACAATATTGTTGAGATGTCAATATAACCCCAACCCATCTATAAATCAACAGAATCTCTATGAAAAACTGAACGGCTTCTTTTTTGTAGAAATTAAAAAATAGACCCTAAAATTAAATGGACTAATAAAAGGGCTGGCATAATTAAAACATTCTTGAAAAAGAACAAAGTTGAAGTACTCATCTTTCTCAATTCGTATTTACCAATGCACAATAAAGCAAAATAACGTGACACTGACATGATGGATATCAAGGCCAATAAAACATAAATGGAAATCTGAAAAGCTATACATCTATGACCAAATAATTTTTTATAAGGATGCTGTCTCTTCAATGGGAACAGAATAGTCTCATAAATAATATTTCAATAAGTATATCGAAAATGATGAATTTGAACTCTTACCTCAAATTACATACAAAAGTTGGGTCAAATGGATAAACAAATATAAGAACTAAAAATTTAAAATTTTGTATGCAAACATAGAGGAAAGTCATGATTTTAGATTTGGCCATGGATTATTAGGTATAACAACAAAAGCACAAATAGCCACAACAGAAAACAAGACTAGAAATGTAGTTCTGCAGTAGACTGTTCACCTACCATGCAGAAGGTTTTGCATTTTATTCCTAGTATCTCAAAAGCAAACACAAGTAGACACAGTGAGAAAAACCTCTACACTCCATATTACCTTTTCAACTGTCAAAAGTGCTGAACAAAAACTGTTGAGAGATGCAGGACAGAAATGCCAAGTCCTTTATGGTATAAGAGCAACCACATGAGAGAAAAAGCAGACTTCTCAGGAATGAAGAGATGTGAAAGGCCAAGAAAGCATGGGATAATGGATTTCATGCACCAGAAGAAAAGAACTGTAAATTAGATTACTGTGTCTGGCCAAATTATCCTTTAGAAATGAGGGAGAAATACTTTAAAATATAAACAAAAGCGAAAAGAATTTATATAAGCCTTACAGAAGATACTCAAGGGAATTCTATATCCACACAAAGATTTAAGAGACAATCAAAAGGCTATGAAAGAAAATAATTTCACTTGAAAGGCATAGAAGCAAATGAAAAGCAGGAGACAATCATACACAGTTATTTGCAAAAATCCAAAAACCTATGATGAATAAAGGGGAAAGAAATGAACACAAAATACGCAATACAACCAAAAGAAAAGTCAGATAACAAACACTGGAACATTCCTTTCAATAATAGCTGAGTCTCCCAGTTAAAACATGCAGACTGGAAATTTGGATTTAGAAAAACACTCAACAGTCTGTTCCCTTCAAAAAAAAACTCATCTCACTTGCACAGATGCTCATATGAAAAATGAAAGGGTAGAAAATGATATTCCAATCAAATGAAACCAAAAAGAAGTAGAAGTAGCTGTACTTGTACTTGATAAATAACACTGCAAGCCAAAATTGGTCAGAACACATGAATAAGGTCTGTAACTATTGATATATAGAACAGTCCTTTCAGAACATAAATGACAGTCCAGGGATTTAGCTCAGTAGCGTAAGTACCTACCTGGCAAGCACAAGGTCATGAGTTCAATCCCTGGTACAAAAAAAAAAAAAGACAGAATTATAAATACATATGCACTAAATGTCAGACAAATCAGCTCTATAAAAAATATTACAACAGGCAGATAAGACCTGGCACAAATGATTGGATGACACCATATTCCATTCTCACCAGACAAAACAAATGAGTAAGAAAACATCACAGCTAATGAAATCTTAACACAAAAAATTAAAATAATTTTTTGCGTCTTGTCAGCACATACCAGAAACAAATTCAACTCCACAGCAGGAAACTGCAGAATATAAGAACACATGAACATTTGACTTTTTTTTATTTAAAGAAAGACAAGACAAAACAGAAAATGGGCAGAAATAGTACATACTTTCAAAGAAAAGAAACAGTAATAAATCACTACTTGATGTGTACATATTGTCCCCCACTAATAGTTGTTCAAGATACAAAAGTGGAACATATAAATGGAAATTCAACCAGGGAGACTGCAAACAGTTCTGTTCAGCTATCCAACAAAAACTAACTAATATGCCTATCAATCCTATACACTTAGACATGTACACATTTATCCATATCTTCATTTATGTTGAGACCTAACAAAACTTATTAGATTAAAATCATTCTGAACAAAGATTAATAATATTGCTGGATTTCACATCATAACACTCCGGAATCAACACTGGGTACCCCTTTCTTTCCAAGTATTTGTTCATTTCATCATGTGTCATAAGATCAGTTCTCATCAACTGTTTATAGGTATTATGCGCGCATGAGTCTTAACATATATTTCTATCCTTTCTATATTAGAGGGGGAAACAGAACAAAGCAGGACAGAACTAAACATATTCCTACAGACACATAAAACTAAAAAGACATATAAAAATGCTGAATAAGGAGTTCTACCATGGTCACTGTGCTGTTTCTTGTTATCAACAGAATTGTCGATATCATCAGATAAAGTGTAATTGAATATATCAGTACATAACAGAATTAATAGAAATACAACTTTATAGATAGTGTAGAGCTACAAAAACAGGTAGTAATCAAATCAGAATGGATATTGTAGTGAATCATTGTCATTTTCAGTATAGTTTTGAATAAAATCTGTCAATAATAAGCAGCAATCAAACAAGTCAGTAACTAAGATCAGTCATGATATAACACTATAAGTCATACAGGAATCCTGATCGAGTTAATAGGAAATTAAGACCACTGTGTTATGTCCTGGTATCTTCAGGACAGCTGTCTGTGCCCTCAGATCCAGTGCTTGTATACAAACTAGGATGGGACAGGTTCCATCCAAGTAAAGTGGTGTGAGTAATAAGGGTTTTAATTCCTGATAAACCATTAGCTATATCTTCTGCTGTCTTTTTAAAGACCATTCCTCCTCTATCACTCCCCCCAGATGAACTGTGTATTTTTGGGTCTCTCCAACACTCATGGTTTTATACTGTGGGGGCAACCTGCTATTTACCTAAGTGTTTCCAAACTTTCTCACTCCTGGACTGGATTTCTAGTTATATTTTTTTCACTTATTAAACCTAGTCTGTTCAACCTATCCATAAATACTGGTCTAGTTACCCCTATTACTCTCTGGTTCCCTATCACATTGAGTTCTGTTTTCTCATATTTGATTTGGTCCACATACCCTTCTTCAGGTTAATTATATTTCCTATAAAGAGCCTCTCGGTGGACCCTACCTCTTGATCCACTCTGCCTGTGATTCTCTCTTTTTTCCCTTAAGTTAGTGTCTCTAGGCCATCTATATTAGAAATTATATCCAACCTTCTCTGCCTCATTTCTGTTGTGCTCTTTTTCCATCACTAGTTGTCTGTCTTCTTCATTTTGCTTTTTGTTCCATTAGTTGGGGCCTCTCTGCCACTGTTCCTGAAATCCTTGTGCTTTCTATCTCTT